AATCCTTTTAAGATCCCCCAGTTGCAACATGGAGCAAAGTTTGATGCTTTGATGCCATACAGCTCACTAAGAGGCTGTTGTACCAACAAGCTCAGGCTCCAGCAGTCTGCTAGCCAGGGAAGCAGCTAGGCCACAATGTTTGGGAGTGAGGTTTGCTTATAAAACCTTGCAACTCCTGTCGAAGAAGACAGAGAAGAGAGCTTCTAAGCGTTCCCTAGCTAACAATCCAACCCCAATTGAGAAAGTCAGGCACACACAAGTTCTCTGTTTTTTCTAAATTCTCTGTGCTGGAGGAGCTGCAGCATTTTGTGTTGAAGGCTTTCACATTCATTTTCAGTAAGGGTCCCTGTGCAGACATCAAAGGAAAACATTAAACTTCCTCTGCAAGCCTTAGGCTAACTTCAGAGGATACATCACTGCATAATGTTTAGCAGTTGGATCACAGTAATTAATGAAAAAAAAGAAACTGCAGGATGCCCACAAGACATTCCTTACATATTTCCATAATTGGGGACATTTCTGCTGAATTACTGTTCACATAGCAAAAAAAAGTCAGCAACCAAGACAGTAACGTGGCTGTGTTTGGCCTGTATCCTTCTGCTTTTGTTCCCATCCTTTTTTACCGGACACCAGGTACATATGAATTCAAACAGAAAAGGCTGACAAAGAGTTTGAATAGCACAGAGTAGGTAGAAACCAGCATCACGTCTGCCACTTTGAGAAAGAGAAAAGATGCTATTTACACTGTTGAATGTCTATTATGTTAGCTGTTCCCCCAGGCCCCACTAGAAAATGATGCGGAAGGCACATTTCTCAAGAAAAGCCCTTCTGTCTCCTTCCTGGAGAGGTTTTGCCACCACTGATTATTGAATATATATTGTTCTTAAACATTCTAACAACCATGGGATGTTATGCCTGGGAAGGCTAAATGTAACAAGTTATGTTTCACTTATTTTTTGGCAATTGGAAGGCATTGAAATATGCTTTTTAACTACAGTCGCCTGGCATGGTATATTTGTTTTTACAGTAAAGCCAAAGAGGATTAGGACACACTGTACTAATTCATAAGAGCAGACAGTACCTGCTCCAAAGCTTTATCTTCCAAGCAGACTGGACAAAACAGCAGCATTTCAATTGTACAGGAAAGGAGGAACAAAGACATTAAGTAACTTACTCAAGGTCACACAGGATCTGTTGCAGGGCAAAGTTGAGTTCCCAAAGTCTCAGTCCACTTAGGCATTGGAAAAAGCAATGAAACAAGAGTACATACTAAATTTGGCACAGATTTTTAAATGATGCATTGCTACAAGGGAACAAGAACCTCCACTCATGCTAACCCAGACACCAAAGGAATATATAAAGGAAAACTAGTTACTCACTCCACCCAATCTATCTGATCACCTTGTATTTCCTAAGTCAATAAGACCTTTCTTGGCCAGACAATCCAACCCACAATTTAGATCTTATTACAAATCAGACATACTAAACCGCTTTCCCCCTCCGGCTGCAGAAGATAAAAGGCCAAGTAGGCAGGTAACATTTTGGTAACTGGCTTCATGTAACAGCTTCGGATTTTCTTAAAAGCCTCGGCATCGATTATTTTCTTTAAATAGCAATGGCTTACTGAGAAACCTTCTACCCATTTTAATGCACAAGGTTTTCCTTAAGTAGAAAAGAAAGCAAAAACTGCCCTGCCAAGGCATATTTGTCAAAGAGTTTCGGATACCCGCTCCTGGCAAAACACTCTGAAGTCAGAGTAAGTTAACACTGGTGCTGAAGGGCTAAGAGGGGAAACTTGGAGATGAAGAGGAAATAAAGTATGGACTGACACAGAACAATACTGGGATTCAGCTCCAGCTTGCGTTTCAGCCAACGGCATGAGCCAATGCTGCAATTTGTATGTATCCAAAGGAGCTAAAAGCTCATGGCATGTAAAGCAGCACAGCTCTCATGCGGTCTCTGCGCAACTTGGGGCAAAAGGAATAGAGGAATTAATTTCATCAAGCCAAATCACCAACACCCTGCTGTTACATAAAAGCCTGTTTTCTGGGGAACGTTTCCAAAGATGGTGTCATTTGGGCTGTTTTGATTAAAGTGACATAGTCAGGTTCAAGATGGGATACACTGCAGACTGAGAAACACTCCGGTTTGACAAAATCTCCCACTCGCTTTTCAATCCTCATGGCGCTTGTTTCTTCCTTACGTTTGCCACATTTTCATATGGAAAACAAGCATGGCAATTGCACTGCCTAGTTCTCAGATGCTAATATAAGGCTGCGATGAAAGAACTGCAGAAGGCCTCAGGGAGATGTTTAAAACCTAACTCAAACAGATAAAAACATGACTATTTAAGTTTGCCTGGGAAAGTTTCTACACATAGTGGAAACCCCTTGAGGCAGGGACTGCCCTTCTGTTCTCAGTTTAATAGCCAGTTGTACAAATTATGATTGCACAATTACTTTTATAAGGTTTTCAATTATACAAAGAATGTATCTTATTAAGGTTTATAACTCTGAGAAATAAAACCTAAAATCCCAAACCCTTTGCATTCAAGGGTGGATGCTAGCGCTCCACCAGCAATGCAGTCCCAACACTATTACAAATTTACACCACAGTCTACAACGAACTTTTAGAACGAGCAGATACAAGCACCGCAGCACGCTGTAGTTAATAGTTCCACGATTCAATACACATAGCCTCATATTGTGCTTTCATACCTTCCCTCCCGTGTCTACATTTTAGCAGTCGGCATTCCTGGGCAGTTACTGCATGCCTCGACGGCTAGAAGCTCAAATTCCAAGCAGCCTGCAGCACTGGCATTGCACTGCTGGAAGCTACTTACCTGCAAAGCTGGCTGAATTGCACAGCGGACCAGAAGGAGCACGGATGTGGAACAAGGAGGGGAAGGAAGTGTCAAAGGTGAAACCACTGGGCATGCACAGCCTTGTGTTTTCCCTGGCTGGGGACCAGCCATGTACTTTAAGACCAGCTGGCCAACTTCTAAGTTCATTAGGCTGTATGTTATTTTCACGTTCTCCAACTAGTCAAAATATTGTCTCAAACTTTAAAGAACAAGTACTATTACTTAGCAAGAATCCCATTACCTGCCTATTTCAAACAAAAAGGAAAATGTTGCAGTATTCCATGTAAAAAAAAAAAAAAAAAAAAAAAGCTGAGCACAAATTCCAATCCACCATGAAAACAATAAGTAAAACAAGTCTCCTTCTTTATTCAGTAAAGCATATTGTGTTTCAACACAAAATCCAGCTGGTAACAACTCTCCCAATGAAAAGGCAGGGGAGTGACTACCCCATTTTACAGGTATCTCATCTGAGCACAGGAGCCTGAAGTCACACAGCTGGTCCGAGGGTTGAATGTATTTCACATCCAGACCTGGGCACAGACTGCTGCTGACGTTTACATTTCAAAACTTCTTTCTGCTGAAGAAATGTACAACCTCCTCCTCTTTAAAAGCTTGAGGCTTTGCAGTCCTCAAGGACAGCTCTGCTAAGAACCACCGCAATTGTACCAGAACAAGAGGAGCCCCCATGAGGCCCAGAATGACTCACAAGTGATAGCCTAATAGGAAGCCTGTCTATTCACAAATTGCAAAAACTAAAATTGTAGCGGTCTGCAATCAGCATTATTCATACCAGAATACTTAAATTCAATTGTCTGGCATGGAGACAACATCACAGAGGTGCAGATCAAGCTGGCCCATGCAACAACCAAGAGAAAAAAGGAAGGAGACAGCCTCCAACGGAAAAAGACAGCTCTGAGCACCCTACACGGAGAATCCAAAACGACCTCCACAGCTGCTAAGATGTCAACCCGGTAAGGACAGATGCCCTTGGTGCAAGGTGACACATTCTAATCTTTTCTGTGCAAACAGGAAGGGGGAGAAGCACTACATGCTTTCTAACGGGCAGAACACCTCTGTCCCTTGTGATCCTGGCCTTTCTCTCAAGGCTGCTCCAAGAAGCTGAACTGGTTTAAGTTGCGCGCACGCACACACAGCTCACAGCGCAGTTTCCTCTCAGCTAATAATCTTATGGTGCGTCTGCTTTTTCTGAACACAAATTTTATAAGTTGAATAAACTTTATGGAACAGTTGATTGCCAAGGCAGCCAAAACCTGGAAACTTGATGCCTGACCACAGCCAGGCACTGCAGGCTCCAACAGACACTCTGAGAAAGTTCAGTTTTCACACTTCAGAAAGAGATCCTCTTACTGGCCTGATCCCTCTGCATCAAAGGCCCCTGACTTATTGGCTCTGAAAGCTTTTAACTCAGCTTATCCTCAAGACCCTTCCCCTTGTGATCAACAGATCAGAAGACAGGACAGAATCCTTCCACTCTCCCCAGCTCAGAGCACATCCTACCATCCACCCCTTGCTTTTTCACTGCAAAGTGTCTCGTTAGTAGACTGGCAAAAATACGAGGGTTTGAGCAACAACTCAGTCTTTGGAAAGCCATCTTACATTTCAGTAGAAGCATCAGAGAACCTTCCCTTAAGTAGGGGCTTTAGTGTTGTCGCTTGGTACAGCTCAGAGTTTAACAGAGGGAACATCTCCAGACACTTTGCCTCCAAACCACGATCATACAACCACCCTTTGGCTACGATGACAAGCATGTACACGAACAAGAAGTATCGGGAAGGTAATTTACACAGTCCTGGCCACCAGTTGGTGCAGTTTTGCAGCTGGAAATGAGAGGGAGGAGGCGGTATCATGGGAAGAGACAGACCACCTGTAAGCACTCCAGAGGCCCGAATTTGGAAACCTGTCCCCTACAGCTATTTTCAAGATCACTGAAAACCAAAACCAGCAGCTCACAAATAGATCCTTTAGGCCGAGAGCCCATTTTCCAACCAAAAACTGCGGTACCGGTTAAGGCCAGGCACTTCCACAGCAACTGACCTGCAGTGCGAGCGAACACACCCTTCCGCTCCCCGGGGAGGAGGCGTCCGCCCAGCACCTGCGGGTGAGGTCATGGACGTACCTTGGAAATGAGCTCATCGTGGTTGGCAAGATGAGCCCTGCAGTGAATGCAGCTGTAGGTCCTGTGGCACGAAGGCAGATATGCCTGGAAAGTCTTGGACCTTGTCATCTTCACCATTGGAGCCACTGAGCGCTGCGTGAACTCTGGGGTGGCCCAGGAGGCACTCCCGCAGGATGGGTCGCACGGGAAACACCGGAAGACACAGGTAAAGGCCGTGGTTTGGCAGGTGGCGGGTGTGGGGCAGGCTCCACACGCTGATGACCGCTTCAGAGGAAGAGATTCGGGCAGAGGGAATGGGGGACTTCACACAAACCTAAGTTCAAAAAAGAACAGACAGAACACTCAGCTCACAAAGGCGACAACGGTCTCCTAGGCCACAGGACGAGCTAGCCTTCGATCAAGGGAGCAGGGAAGAGTCGGGGCAGCCAGGAGACAGGTGTGCTGTCTGCAGATTAGATCAAGGAGGACAGAGTTTTATTCACAGCTCAGCCACTGACTTGCTGACTGCCCTTGCATCTTCCTGCTTCTGTTATCTACCATCTTCCTATCACTCCAACGCTCGCAATCTCTATTCATTCTTCCAACACTTAATGGATTTGGAAGTGACTACAGAGCCACAAAGATGCTAAAAAGATTATTTTCATCAAGCCTAGTCTCCTAAATGCCTCTGGGGAACTGCACACGTTAAGGTCCAACTCTGCACCACCCCTTGGAGAAGTCGGGCTCTGTTAGCTAGAGAGAAAGTCGGAACCCAGAGTCAGCCCTGCCGGCTGCTTGTCCTGCGTGACTCACTGATGCGACACCCCGGAAGCCCGTGGGAAAGCTGGGAGCTGGATGGGGGTTTCCTCAGCCACCAGGAAAGTACACCAGTCACCAAACCAGTTCTTCTCTCCATTCTGCCCTAGTTTCCACACGGGAAATGGAGGATTACTTCATCACACTCTCCTTTATAACTCCCTGCAAGCTCTGAAGGTAGAAGCTACTCTATAAACTGCACTCTGGGGTTGTGGTTTTTTTTTTGTTTTGTTTTGTTTTTTTTTTACTCAGAATCTCTGACAGCAGTCAAAGCAAGGAGCAGCCTCTGAAGACTATTCCTGATAGCAAGAGACAGTTAGAAATCCTACTCAGGATGGAAACACCTTTTTACAAGCTGACATCATCTGACAGAACCTGCAAGGCAGCTCAAGTCTAGGTCTTTTTTTGTTGGCAGAAATCAGTTTTTCAGATCCCACATCTATAACCTTTACACAGCTACAAATGTTTCTTTTGAGGATGGAAGAAGCATAAAGGATAAAGGAAGCAGCTCCCCTCCCTCCCTGATACATGGCGTGCATGCATGCTCTAGAAATTAATCATGAACTCTGGCTGCTCCTCCCATGAGGATTTTCCTTTCCATAAAACATGTGATCCTGTTCAGTTTCTGAGTCTGCACTTTGTGTATCAAATACTGGAACAATACCAGCACCCCCCAAAAAATAAGAAAAACAAGAAATAAAACCCCCACACCTGACCTGCAATGGAAATTTCTGAAGTGGACAAAACAGAGGAGTACAAGAGCTTAAGAGCCAGTCTCTAAGCCGGTATGAGTAACTTGCCTGAAGCATAGCTGATAATCTTCCAGGTTAGGATAAAGTCAGCCCAAGTCACTACACTGCTACACTGCTAAAATAGCTCCCTGGAGTTTGTGTGTTAAGCTGGCCCTGCTGCTGCTCAGTAGGATGTGCCTTCCCGGAGCACCAGCCACACGCCCGGTTCAAGGTATGCTGCAGAGAACTGATGGACTGGGACTATTCTAAGCAAATACATCTCTCTGGGTTGCTAAAGGGGAAACTGTCAAAACAGCGGGATGGAAATCAGAAAGTCAATCGGGGAACTGAAGGCAGGACCCAAGAAAATTGTTGTAGGAAGCAGTCCTGCAGAACTCGTAAGCATCCCATTTAGATGATCTCTTTTGCCCAGTGTTAGCATCAGTCAGAAGTATCTCACTGTGACAAAACTGTCCAAGTCATACTGAAAACAACAACAACAAAAAAATCAGACTGTGAATCCATTACTGCTGTCTGCTGGAAAGCCTCATGCGTGATCACCGTCAGACAGCGAGATCTGCAAAAAACCTCGTCACTTAGGTACCAAAGCGCCATTCATGGAAACCCCTGTCTTCAACACTTCTGCTCCTAAGTCTTCTTGTCATCGTTGAAAAAGAAGATTCAAGGTACCCCAGTTGCTTTAGCGTTTCTGAAAGCATTACCCACTGAACTTACTACCAGCTGGACAATCCCCAAAACCCAGGCACGCTATCTGCAAGCTTTCCAGTAAACAGTTCCTACAAGCACTATATGGAGGGTTGTCATAAGCTCACATGGGCATCATTTGGTGTAGTCAAAGGTTCATTATATTATGACCACGCACAGTGCTCAACAGGAGGCAGACACCAGTAAGACAACAGGATACCCATTTTTTTCTTTTTTTCTGAAATATTTTTCTTCTGCTCTCCAGAAGGCAGATTTCTTACGTTCCAATGGGAAAAAAAGTCTTACTCATCCTGCAAACTGCTGATAAAGCATATCTATCATGATCATAATAGTCAGCACTTCCATAGCACTTTTCGTCCTTAAAGCTCTTTGCAAACACTAACTAATCAGATTAACCTTTTCCAATTAAAGTTACAGTGAGAGCTTTGGAAGACCCATCCTGACACAGAAGGGCTCACTTTCCAGCTTGTTAGGAACTAAACCTCCTCTTGTTCAGCCAAAAGGAGTCTTGCCAGGAATTTATCTGGCCAACCTGTAGCTAAGCAGACTGCCTGTGCACTTTTCAGTGCGCAGCTGCATCTCTGGATTTCAGCAAGATCTTTTACACTAATTGCAGAAGTAAGAGAAATCAGGCAGTGTTCACCTGTATCCTGCCTCAGTTCTCCATGTGCACCAGAGTTTTGTCAAAACTGAGTTAGTTTTGCATTAGATAGCGTTGTTTTCCCCTCCAAGGTGAGGGACACTTCGAGGATTGAACACCTAGGTTTGCAACAAGGCAGAAACAAGATGCAAAAAAAAGCAGAATCCTTCCTTATTTTCTGCTGATTACATGTAAGTAACACATCCCAGCCTTCCTGAACTAACCAAGTGCCAACCTTTACAGTCACAAGACAACAGAACCATCCCCAAATTCCAAGCCCATGATTCAGCAGCTGATACGCTATATCCCAGCCATAACAGATCTCACAGCCTGGAATTTGTGAGCCATGTGCCTTGTCCTCCAAGTGCAAGGAAGCAGGAGACTAAGTGTGCTCTTTCTGGGGCCAAATGCAACTGGACTCCAAGGCAAAGCACCAAGCCCTGTCTGAAAGAAACGGATTATGTCAGACAGACCAGCTGGAGGAAAGTGCAAAGAAAGGACCGGCAATCACTTTACCCGATTTCTGAATGAGAAAACAGACTTGAGTCTAAACCTTAGATTTCACCGATTTGTAATGCAATGGTGCAATCCCCTCTCCCTCCTTTTCTTCAGCACGGATAGGTAAATATACCAACCACCAGTTTTACTACTTCCCTCCCATACTGCCAAACATTTCTGTTCTGATCAGCTGCCTAGCACTGCAGCACAACAGCTGAAGAAAGCAGTCCACAGGCATCCTCAAAGCCAAATGGAGACATAAATGATACCCAACCAGAGTAATATAAGAGCAATCCCTTAATTTGTTGTTTGCTGACCCCTCTGTCCAGGCCTCCTAAGCATCAATGCTCTAGAACGAGTAAAACAGGGAAGACTACAACTGCATTTATCTAACAGAGAAATGAACACACACGCACACACAAATTACCTGCTGCATGCAGCTTTCTGCAAAAGAATTTCACGAGCATTCATTTATTTGACCTCATAACACATTCAACATCAGCAAAAACATTTGACCTTTTAGAGGTGGACAAAAAAAGTATTCAAGTGAGATAGTATCAGAGCACGGATTAAAATGGCAATTCCTGTTCTCAGTAGTGTGCTGAGAAGGCAAACCAAATTGATCTCTGCTGAAGGCAGGGGAGAGAATAAAGATCTGTGAGCTAAGATCTTGGTGGGAAACCTAGGTAAGAAACCGCCTTGAAAACAATCCTCCGATAAACTCATATACGATAGCCATACTTTATAAAGTATTCAGCATACTTCATACAGCATTCAGCCTGACAGTCTGATCGCTTGTGTGCGCTATCTACCAAGAGCTCTGTCCTCATCATAGTAAGGGAGCGGAGGGAAAAACAATAGGAAATGCATTCTTACATCCTATGAGCACAGCTACTAGCTTGTAAGGACCCATTTCTGTCTTGAATATCATCTCGAAATGTATTAAATAGGATCCGTGGCTCTCAGCAATGCAAAAACGCCAGTATTTTTTTCTGTCCTAGTGGCAAACACATTTGAATTAAAATACGTTTAACAGCTAATGGTGCACTCATTCTACTGTAGAACAAAGGCATGGGGATGACTTTAGGCTGTGCCTCTGGTTTTTCAGAATGATGAGTTAATGTTCATCAGCCTCACTGACAGTGGGCATTAGTGGAGTCATTCCATTAGCTTTAAAAAAAAAAAAAAAGTGCTTTGATTACTTTATCATCGTGCCCAACAGTGTTAGATAAATTAGTATCTGTCACCAGCAATATAATCCAGTATTTTTCTTTTATCATTCTTCAAGAGAAATTTATCCCTGGGATGGACACACTCAAGTCAATGGAACAGAAATCTGGGCATATTAATTAGTTCACGAGAAGTCAGAAAACTGGTTTAGACAAAAGGAACGAATTCTAGGGAAAAAGCTTATCAACAATTTATTGTGGTTATCGGTGAGAGAATCAGCTGAACATACTGCTTGCATGCGCTGTGTATGTTTGGGCTGCCCTGCTTAATCCTGCTAAATTTTAAGCAGATAACACCTCTGTGAAGGAAAAAACCATGACACACATTTTGCCGTTCAGACAACTTTTTGGTTCAGTACTCACCCTCCACCTGTCCAACAGCCGCTTTTCACACGAAGCCGTTAGCAATTCAGGAAACACAAAAAAGGAGAAATGCCAAGTCTGTGCCAAACACTTGCTAGACAAGGCTACTGCTTGCACAAGTCCATATGCCACAATGGCAGAGAACAAAAACTATCACACACAAGGCTAATTTTGCATAAAATCCATGTGCAATGCAGCTCAGATGCAAATGTTCCTGTTCATTCTGGCAGGACAAACAACAGGTTTGTTGGGTCTCAGGGTTTGTTTTATGGATTATTTGATTTTTAAGATAAGAAGCTTTAGTCAGTTAAATACTTATTAGAACACAGCAAATGCTATAGAAAGCTGCCTGTAGTAGTTTTGAAAAACATCTGTCTATTTGGAAACCCAACCTTTCTTCTTTGGTGTCTCTTCTCATTAATATAGGAAGAGCTAGAGATGTACTTATGCTGAGTGCAATGAAAGCACAAGAGGAATCGGGTTTGGAGAGTTCTCCGTTTCTACAAGGTCACAAGCTGTAGCAGCCTGCGCTGCTCTGGGGTCGTAGCGTGATTCTAAGAAAATGCTTGAGGTAAGCACACTTACTTACCAGGGGTTTCTTGACATGGAAACTGCCTTAACGTTGCTTAATGCATTGCAGTTTGAAGGAGGAAGGCTAGTCTCTAAGGTGACAACGCTGAAATTGGAGTCTGGGTTTAATGCCCAGTTTTGCCGGTCTTCCCTACGGAATAAGAGTTAGCGTCAGAATTTCAGGTGCCGAACCCTCCGAGACACCTGGCACAGCTAAGGAGCTTTCATACTCTGATGATGGAATACCACAACAAAAGATCCTGGTTTGGGGCAGTTCTGGAGATCCTCCCTACCACACGGGACTGCAACAGCTTTGGAAAAGATGAAGCCAAATCATCTGAAGGTAGGAGGGTAGGAAGGACGTTGTGAAAGGCCCTGAAAGAAAGGATGACCATTCTGAATTTAAACACGGAACACAAGGGAAAGCCAAGAAAGGAGTTTAAATAGCATATGGGTGTACACAATGTACCTTTACTCCTTCAGTATCAGGTTTCTGAAATGCACCAATTTCAAACACTTGATAAGATGACACTGCATGCAGCTCAGCAGTACTAGCACGGTCAACAAAAGTCATTGCCGATACATGAACCGTAAGTGTCCTTCTCTAATGCCTGCACTCATTCAGCTCATTCTCCAAACCTTGCAAGCCCTTGGAGACAGGAAAATAAGAGAAATGGTGGAAGACAGCCAGCAGGAATCCTCTGTGTTTACTTTTATCAGATACATGGACACAACTGCAATACAAATAATAGTATGGAGCAGGTTTCTCACTTAGACTGCCGTCAACTAGAAATATATTTAACCCCCTTTATTCCTCTGGATATCCTCTGTGTTTACTTTTATCAGATACATGGCACTGGGAAGCACTTCATGATTGGGGGAAAAAGGAGACGGATGGATGGATGCAAAAAGGTGATACTGATGTCAAACAGTACTGCAGACAATTGCCAGGTAACCACCAGAGGGCATCAAAAAGAGATTCAGGAAGAAGCAATTAAAGACTATCTGGCTATAGTGAATCAGGGACAGGCACAACGCCAACCATGCTGCACCTGCCGTGCTCCACATACCATAGCCAGCCTGTCAGGGAAAACATCAGAGTTATTATTCTGCTGAAGAGCTATCAATACTAAAACTGTCAAAACTATCATCGCAATTATATTAATCACGTTTTAAGGGGGGTGTGGGGTTTTTTTTCCTTCTTTTTTAAAAAACAGGCAATATGTCAGTCTATGGTCTATCAACAATCTTCCCATCAAAAATAGACTCAGCACCCCTTCAACAAACTTCCTGATCCCTCTCTGACGGAGAGGCTTTCTATGAAAATCACATGGAAGGTACATAAAAACAAGTTGAAACTTAAAAGGAACAAACAGCAAGTCTTTAAAACTCGCTTTGGGTTGGAATTTTTTTAAGTCTGTCTAGCTTTGTCACTGCATACACTATTAATCCATAACTTATTAAAACCAAAGTAATTTATGAAAAATCTTTTTAAAAGTTGTCCTTTACATAGCTGATTTACCTTCCGTCAATTTGGAGATTAAATCAAATTAAAAAGTTTCACTTATTATTTTTTTAAATAGGTAACATCCACACCAGTGCATTTTCAGGTTCTCAAGTGCAACTGTGAGGTGAGTAGCAAGCCCAGAGGACTCCTGCATTCAAAGCAAAAGCTTTCTTGTATTGAACTACAACGCACAACTGACTGGAAAGCGAAGGAACAGGCTAAAGTAACTCAATGAAGACGGTGCAGAGATGCTTCTTTCCCGGCTGCAGACTACAGAGGAGAGATGACCATGAGACCTTTCCGACTTCATTTACAGATCTACGGCTGGACTCGGACCAGTCAGTGTCAGAACTGCTAACTCATCTCTCCCCACAATTCAGAACAAAGCACACTGTTCAAAACAATCCACTCGGACACACCACAGACACCACTGGGAAGCAGGGAAGGGAAATCATTCTGGAAATGTTAATCAAATTCTTCACTTTACAATTTCATCTCAAAAGGCACATGACAGCTAGGACAGACATCATCTCACAGGGCTGGCTTCAAAATTTGCTACCTTTTCTGGACCTGTCTCTGAAACCACACGAACATGGATGGACTGCAAGATTCGGCCCCTACTGAGGAATGACTGACACCTCTGGCTGAATTCTCTTCCCACTCTCCTACGAGTTGCCTGGCAGCAATATCTTTGCAATGCAGAAGAGCCTGCGCTGCTGATAACAAGCAGCGTGGCAAGCATTATAGCTGCAAGCTGCCCACCCTTTGCTTTGCAGGTACGCTCCATCACAGCTGAATTCAATAACCAGTTACAGTAGATGCCAACATATGCTACCGAACTGCAGGAGGAAACATATATGCAGAAAAGCATCACAGTTGGCCAGGACAAATTTGAAACAAGCCAGCACTTAGTTTTGCTCCTACCAGCAAATCCCACTCATGCCACAAATAAACAAAAACTGCAAGCTGAACTAATTTAAAACACAAATGACTCCATTTCCTCCTTTACATTTTGCAAAAACTCATGCCAGCATCCCCCGGAATGGGATAACAGTCCTTCATCTGAATTGGCCCAGTAGATACGATGCACTCGAGTGAGATAACAGCAATGGCTCAAACACACTGTAAGATGTAGCTCTTCAATTCATATCCATCTTTCTGCCTAAAAAACCTACACATTCAACCTGATGGTCACATTTGGAGTCATAGATCAAGGACATCATACTTTGCCAAAATGATGCATATACAGTGTTTTACAAAATGAAAGACAACCCTTGCCTCGCTATTCTAGTACCAACCTGAACTAACGACATCAAGGAGAAGCTCTTCCCATCCAACTGACCAATTACTGACAAAATGGAAACGCTCTTTATCTTCCCAACTTCTCCTCATTTGTTTTAATTGTAGAACAGTCTAGCTATCCAAATCACCTCTTATCATTACACTTCTTTTGTGCTACTTACATTGCTCTTACATCTTCCTTTTTGGCAAATGTAGGTATGACTAGGATTCAATTAATTTGGTCTGCTGGATGGATCGTCTGTTTCCCTGATAAAGGCTGGCTACTGACAGGGAACACAGTGAGAACATTTGTCTATTGCAAGTATCATTCCAATACCCTCAAAGTCATTTGTAGTTGAAAGAAGGATCTGCCATAGCTGCCTGTCATGACTTAACTGTTTGCAAGCTCCCCTTGACAAAGCCTGTAAGTTTTCATCTGCTCACAAAACCCTTCTGCTCAGAGGGTTCTTCCCAGGAGCATCTTTTATCTAGCCTTGCACTGCCCAGAAGCACATCTGCCACGGGAGAGACAGTGACTTTATTTTCTACTCCGCTCTGTGTGTCTCTTTCCGAGTAACGCTAAGGATAAGATGTTGAATTCTGACCGATCTCTGCTAGTAATGCTTTTTATGCAACACTTACTATATTAATGAGGTACACACTTTCTGTGGCAGTTCAGTCATCATCCTTCTAGCTTTCATTTCCACTGAAGGCATAGGAACCCATATGTCAAGGGGGCAAAGTCAGGTCAAGATTTAGAGCTTGAGTCTTCACATGACAGATACTTTATAACTAAATCTAGTTTAAGATGGTCAAGTCAGCTGTTACCTTGCCAATTTTTGTCATTAGTTCCTCCTGGATATCCTCACTAGCCTGCACTAGTTACTGCCAAGGTATGTGAACTTACCTCTTACAGTTCTGTGCCTACTGATGCATGCTTCAGCTGGGAGTTCCTGGGATTCTCATTAGATTCCCCCCCCCCCCCCCCCCCAGACATTTCATCTCTTTTTT